GTGGAATAAAACCCGAAACGTGGTGTCAGAAGTATTGTGAGTAAAAACAGCTCAGACCATAGAGGCGGACACATGAACACATCGGTGTAGTGACTTTGGACGTTGTAACCAGAGAGTCATACAAAGCCCAGAAATATTCACAATTCAATCAAAAATAATTTCCAGCTTTGTGATGCTATGAAGAGTATGAAAGAATACACAACTTCTTCAAGGTCAAAAGTATTTACAGCTAGATTGGAGGCACTTACAATTCCTCAGAGGTAAAGGAAAGCAAAATTCAATCAAAGGATGGTGTCACCTAGGGAGGAGCTGCCAGCTTCCGAGGCCAGAGAGAGTAATTCAGAAATGATCCCAAACCAGGGACTTGAACTACAGGGCTCCAAAGGTGAAGACCATCCTATTTGGAGGGCAAGGACACAGCACTGTGACAAGGGCCACCCACATATACAACCTCAATGAGCCGGGAAGAGACTTCCAAAATGATATAATTGGAGAGATACAATTATTTCCTTTTTTGAACTGAGCATCTTTCAAATCTAGGAAGATCTAGAATTAAGTCTAGAAATGTGACAGATGGTAACTAGACATATTGTGGTGATAACTTTGTACTATATACAAAAATTGAACTATTATGTTGTACACCTGAAACTAGTATCGTATTATATACCAATTTTATCTCAATTTAAAAAAAGAAAAAAAAAAAGGAAAAAGGCCCTGGCTGGTGTGGCTCAGTGGATTGAGTGCTGGCCTGTGAACCAAAGGGTCGCTGGTTCAATTCCCAGTGAGGGCACGCATCTGGGTTGCAGGCCAGGTCCCCAGTAGGGGGCATGTGTGAAGCAACCACACATTGATGTTTCTCTCCCTCTCTTTCTCCCTCTCTTCCCCTCTCTCTAAAAATAAATGAAATCTTTAAAAAAACAAAAAAGAAAGAAATGTCAGTGGACAACCAGTCTCTGGGATTTCTCTTTCAGTCCAGCTTAAATGTCACTACTACACTAATCTTCCCTTAATCAAAATTTTCAAAAGGTTCCAGAAGTCCAAAGGGTCAAGTCCACAGACCTCAGCATGATGTTTAAAGCTCTGCACAATATGGCACCATCAGACTATTGCCCATTCTCCCTGTAGCACACGATGGGCAACCTACTCTGGCCTTTGCCCAGAAATGTCCCAAAGCTCTTATCAAACCCCATATGTTCTGTAAGGCCCTGTTCCATAGCCACCTCCTCCAGGGAGCCTTCCTGGTTCAATAGCTCCAAGCAAGTCTCCTCTGACCTTGGATTATTCCACCGTGTAGCCCTTCATTAAATGCCACCCTGAAAAGAGTGTCGTGTTGCTCTTCTATTCTCTTATTTCACTGTGCTTCACTGCACCTCCAGTTCAACAGGGCCACAGGCAGGCAGATCAAGGTCAGTGGGCCACAGCTGACAGGCAGCCTGCAGGAATGAGTCCTAAGGCTCAAGAGATCAGTGATCAAGGAGCAGTCGGCACAAAACACCGTGCCAAAGACTATAAATCCAAGAGCGAGGAAGCAGGGGGTGAGAAGGTGGGAAAGCAGACAGATGCGAGCTGAAGAGAGACTAGAACAGATGGCAAGGGAGCGTGCGCCATGGAGCCAGCGGACAGGAGCGGAGCAGCGGGACGCGCCAGGTGCAGGGTGGGGCTGCAGCGGAGGCGCCGGCCGGAACCCGGCTCCTCGTGACTCTCCGCTCTCTCACTGCAGCAGGGCTGGCAGCCGCCGCTGGCCTGGGCCCAGTGCCTCTCCGAAGCAGCTCTGTCCTCCTCCAATGAGGGCTCCTTGAAGTCAGGAACCACACACGTACTTCTCATCACCGCACTGCCAGGCCTTAGGAGACAATGCCAAAGGAATGTGTCTCGGAAAACTCTTCATTCTCTTTCTCCTTGGTTGTGGTCACCTATGTTCTTGGCTGTCTGGGCCACACCTAACAACCGAGGCTCCTCCATTAGTAATATTTACATGGTGACAACTGGAGAATCCAGAAGGAGAGCTCCCTTCTCTGCTTTCTGAAGACACACAGAAAATAATCCTTTTCCTTTTTGTGTGCTCTGCGAAGTTTCACAGAAGGGCGCCCTCCGGCCTTAGTGGTGTGTCCAAAGCTCGCGTTGAATTCTTGAAGCGCCCATGATCTCTCTTATGAGACCCCAAAGGGTCCTCGGAAGCATCTTGTCAACCTCTAACTGCCTATACATTATATCCAGACTGTCCTTTGGTCATTTATTAGTTTCAGGTGGCCCCGCGGCCTTAGCACTGTCCGCCAGGGATGCCTGCATCATGCTGGACCCCACACCCAAGAAAGGGCAACTCAGCTCCCTACCTTGCAGAGGAAGAGGTACTGCCCCATGAACGACACACATTTGGAAATGTGGAGCGGCCTCCTGACCGAGTGAGGTGGCTGAGTGAGGCCTAGTGCCTGGCTCCATGCTCTGGGACAAGTGTCAGTCTTCTAAGTCCCCGTACAAAATGGCACTAATTTAACCAACACTCTTTTATGTCATTGTACTCTGCTGCTTAGTGATTTCCCAATGTAAGTGTCCTCTTGTCCACTCAAGGGCAGCGCTGGGCCACCCCACTGAGCTTGGCGCTGGTGGCTAGTTGGAGCCTGAGAAACAGAATCCTATGACTTCAAATCCACTCTGTCTTCCAAAAAGGATGTGAGGCAGCTTAAAGAGTGCATGATATAACCCAATAGAAACAGATGAAAATATACCCCTGAAAAGAAACCAAGAAAGGAAGAGGAAGCGGAGCTAGGGTCAAGAGCATGCACGGAAAAGGTCAGTTTTGCAAAATTGCTAAAGTGGTTAGAAATTCAGTTCTGGGTTTTCTAGGGACTAAGGCAAAGAAAGAATCGTGGTCCGTAATGGAATTCTAAGTATACAAATATGAAAGAAACAACCTAAAAACAAAAATCCACCACCTGTTTAAGAGAAGCTCAGCCTCTGCTGGTACTCAAGGTTAATTTCCTGAGCATAAATTCCTACAAGTGGGATTTTTAAATGAAAGATTTTATAGATTTTTTTTGAGGTCTCTGGTGTGGATCTCCGGTTGCTCCCCTGAAAGGCTGTCCTGATTTGCATTCCCACCAGCAGCCTGCCCAGCCTGCTCTTCCCTACCCTGGGGATTATTATTGTTAGTGTTTTGGTTGGCGAGGGAATTCTTGGCAAATGTGACAGATACAAAGTCAGTGTTTTTATCTGTACTTCATGAAAGTAAATTTTGCCGAGTAGTTTTCATATCCGTTCTGACGCTACACAAAGGGCAAATGGCCTACTTCATATCTTTGTTGTCTAAATTGTCTTTTCTCTCTCTTTTGGACTAGTATCTGGGAAGAGCTTTTTTTATGAAGGATATTGATCTTTTTGCTGTCATGTGATTAATATTGTTGGTTGTCTGTGTTTAAGCTGTTTGACATCCAAGAGTTGATCTTTTTTTAGGCTGTAAAGTCTAATTTTTCCCCTGAGACAGTCAGTTAAACATTTATTAGGTGTCTACTCTGTGCCCAACACTGAAACTTTCCAATTTTACTAATGAAACAGGTCAAATAACTCGCTCAAGGCTGCTCAGCAAATATTCGCTGAATGAAAAAATGAACGAATGATGGGGGATGAAGTCTCCTTATCCCTACGAAGCGGCAGCTCCGCCCTCTGTTCCTCCCCAGCGCACGCGTGCTTTAAGTCTCTCCGTGAGCAGGGTGCTGGAAGGGCCTGACCCTGTGATGTCTCCTCTAACTTACCCAACGTGCTGCCCTTCCTTCTAGACCAGTCGTCAACATCATGCCACTCAACTTCTCTTTGGAAAGGGAACTGCTTTCCTCATTTTCATTACTAGGAGTCATGAGCCTCCAACATTCTCAAAAAATCAACAGACCTAGACTGCTGATACCCAAGCTGTGGCCCCCGGACCAGCAGCACCAGCAGCACCAGCGTCACCTGGGGGCCGGCCAGGGATGCGGGCCAGCCAGGCTTGCTGAATGGGGACTGCACCTGCCCACGATGCCCAGGCGATTCTCACGCACGTCTGAAATTGAGAGCACCCACTGAAAATTAAATTTTTTTGAATCTTTAGCTCCAAAGCCATGTGCTTACTGTAAATGATGAAGAAAAAAGTTAAAGAATCTGATGAGCTCCCCCGTAAGCTGTGGAATTTGTGGGTAAATATTACTTTATGTTTGTTTTTTTTTCCATTCCCCATATAACCCATGGAACACTGAGAACTCAAACCAAACATGAGCTCTGTCCATCTAGGGCTGGCCAGGATCTGGTATTGCTGCGATGAAGGGAATGTGTCTAACTCTTAAGAGGCCAGTTACAGTGAGTGCTTTGCCAAGAAATAACCTGGCTGGGTGAAGGCTGGAAGGAGGTGCTCATGTAATAAAGAACAAAAATAGAGTCGCCTCACTAATAATCCTCATTTCTGAAAAGCATGATCAGTACTCCAAGTCCTGGTTGGCAACATTCTCAGGCAATCAATTTTCTCACCTAAAAGGTAATACCCACTCAACCTTCACCACTACGCTTCAGAGATCATGAGAAATGCTTTCTATGTGTTATCCTATTAATGCCCCTAAGCAAGTCTTTGTGCAGAGATTTATCACGCTCATTTTGCAGATGAAGAAACTAAGGCTCACAGCGTATGGGTGATGGAGCCCAAGACCTCTCTCAGGTTTGTTTGACAGTAAAACCCATGGGATGGGGCTTTGGCCAAGGCATCGAGGAGTGTGTGCTCTGTGGCCTGGCTGTGTCAGAACCCACGAGGACTGGGGGTGACTCGTCTCACTTGGACAAACAAGTACTTTGCTTAGGAAACAGTTTCAATGAGGTATAACCTACATAACATAAAATTCATCACATGTAATTTAAGATGGTAAAGCAAATGAACATTCACAGAAATAACAAAGTTCTTTTCCCTCGGAAAGGAAAGCCAGACGTGTGCAGAGTCCTGGGGAGCAGGTTTCCCACAAGCCCCCAGAGTCGCGAACGCCTACCTTGGATTCCATACAGCCGGTTGAGGCGTGACCGTCGGGCCTCGTCGGTGTAGGGGACAGCGAGCCAGGGCATCTCACTGAAGTACTGTTTGAACGAGTCCTCTGACCTACAGAGACACAGGTAGAAACAAGGCTCTATTACTCCTGAATGTACCTCCACTGGGTACCCCCCACCTTCTACCAAGTTGTGCCCAGGGCTCTACCAATGGAGGGGCGTCGGATCATCACGTTCAGACACAGAAGAATGCTATTCCGCTTACCCTGGTGTACATCAGGAAGCAGATGGCTCCACACAACACGTGGACCCCAAACTGAAATGCCAGGCTGTTTCCATAGCTCCCTCCCCTGCATCCTACTGGTTTAACTCATGCCCCATTTTTGATTGATTGATTGATTGATTTTAGAGAGAGAGGAAGCGAAGGAGGTAGGGAGGTGGGGGGGGGGGAGAGAGAGAGAGAAACATGGATTTGTTGTTCCACTTACTCATGCTTTCATTTATTGACTCCAGTATGTGCCCTGACCAGGGACTGAACCAGCAACCATACTGAGATGATGCTCTAACCCACTGAGCTACCCAGCTAGGGCACTTCTCATTTTTCAACACAGACGAATCCTACTTTTATAAAAACCCTAGTTGTTCAGACACCCATTCCCTGTGACACTTTATTTTGTGCATGTAACAGTGGCATGTACAGGACCACACTTTTAACTGATCATAAACACTATGATTCCACATATAAGAAATTCCAGAAATGACAAATCTAATCAAGTGATAGGAAGCAGATCAAGGGTTCCTTGAAACCGGGGTTTGGGTATGAGAACTGACGGAGAGGAGCACGAGGGAGCTTCTGAGTGACGGGAATGTTCTCTATCTTAATTGTGATGCTTACACGGCTCCATACATGTGCCAAAATTCCTTGAACTGTATACCTAAAATGTATGCATTTCATTGTATGTAAATTACAATTCAATAAAGCGGACCTTTTTTTTAAGCTTTAAACAAGTGATTACTCCCCCTAGCACGCCCTCAAGCATGCCCCACTCACGGGCCCTGGGGCGGGGAGCTGGGAGCCGTGAACAGCAGGGCGGGACCACAGGCCATTCAACCGAGCGTGAAACAGTGCAGACGTCAAGGCTACAACAGTGAATGACATGCCCCTGTGCGTTGGCATCTCAGAGAGCCTTCTGTGAACAGGAACTTGGCAGGAGCAGCTGGTGGCTCAGTTTGAATTGGGGCAGGAGCTTTGTGATATAAGAAGGTCACTGGGGAGTGAAGCCAGCGCGAGGGCAAGCAGTGGAGGAAATTAGGCGAAAAGGACCCAACGTCCCGCAGGAAAAAGGCCTGTCCTCCTGGTTCTTGTGCTGCCCGCAGACGGAGCCCGCGGCCAGAGCGAAGGGAGATGGCTGCGCAGCCGTCCAAGTCAGGTGCCGCAGCCCATCAGTCCCTGCTCCTTCCTTTCCATCCTTCCCTCTCCGTACCCTTTCACCACAACCCAAAAAGCTGAACACATCACAAAACGCACCCTAATCTTAAATGACCCAGGCCTGAATTGGGACGTACCTCCATATTTACAGCAAGAACAAGTTTCTCTTGGCTTTCCTTCAGACAATTCCAAGAGCAAACGGGAAACGCACCCGTCCCTCTGCCAATACGCCCAGCCATGTTTTCCCCACTCCCAACCTCCAAGCTCTACACTACAGACGTGGGGAGTGTAAGGCGAGAGACAGACACGTCAACCACCCGCAGTTTATAAAGGAAAGCTGCGCTAACATTACCTGTCTGCGCTAACAAAGATAATCTCAAATTTCTGGCCTGCCTCCTTGATCTTCCGGTAGGATTCCACCAGGACCCGGGTGAGGCTTCGGCAGGGGGGGCACTGAAAGACAAGAGTGGGACCCTGTAGCGTGACTTTGCACCTTCAACGTCCCCTTTCCCAGCAGCCATTTGCCATCATCAGAGGCCAGGCAAGTGAGACCCCGGGAGAATCGGACTGGCAAAAACCAGTTAGGACAGGAGGCAGAAACAAACATGCCTCTCCTAAGGGCGAGGATCCAGCACAGCCTCCTCCCCGCCCCTCACGGCCTGCCAGCAAGCAGCAGTTAAACAAACCCCCTCAGGGCCCATTAGAAGCCTCATCAGAATGGGTTAAGAAAGCTATCCTTTTAGACCAGTCAAAAGAAGTCATTTTCTGGCTGCTATTATCATTCATAACAATAACCACTTATGGCACGCCAACAGTGCCTTGGGCACAGGAGAAAGGAAGAATGCCAGGAAATTATGCCCAAGCAATCACACCTCCAGAAGCCAATCAGAGCCGGTCTTGGTGGTGACATCACTGCTTGCTTCCGCCTGGGCTAAAGAGGGACCAAACACTCACCCAGTGTGCAGAGAAATAGACTCCCACGTGAGACCCCTCCAGGCTGCTGCTCTCCAGAGACTGCCCATTATTTCTAAGCAAGGGTCCGGCAATGACTTCCCGGAAAGGTTTAGGTCCCCAAGGGAATTCCAAACCTGAAACAGCCAACAGATGGAGAGAAGGTTAAGACTCTTCAGGGTGGCTTCCGACCCAAGGGGCCACAGGGCTGCAGAGTGTGACGTCTTTATCATCGAATAGTATCTGTTAACATGCCCATAGGATCCGCAGCTAAAAACACTGGGATAAAAGCAGGACTCCTGCATGACTGAGTCCTACCTACCCTCAAGGCAATGGTTCCCAAACTTGCTGGATCCCAGGGCCCATCTCCTGGCAGGTTTCTGAAGAACAGAGAAGCCCAGGTCATACCCCAAGCCCCGGGACCCCAGGGCTGAGAGTGTATGTCCAAAACGCAGCGAACAGACTCCACAGGCACCTCTGATGATGGGCCAAGCTGGGGAAGCATCGCCTCGCTCTTAACCGCGAGTCTCTTCCATTCCAACCCAGGATTCTCAGTGCCTCTCAACTCTGACTGCATTTCAGAATCCGCCCGGGAATTTTAAAATAGGATGCTTCTGGGCACCACCCCCAGAATTTCTGGTTAGGATCGTATGGGCTGGGGCCAGGGAACCAAGTGAGATAAGGAAAGAGGAAAACCCACTCCACCCAGATGGTCTGAATTCTGATGACACTTAAGCCCCCGGCAGGAAATGCAAATAATATGCTCTCAGCTCAGTCTCTCAGGGTGGTCCATGGACCACTGCCTCAAAACTGCCTGGGGCGAGGGCAGGGTGGGCGGGAGGCGCCCAGGCTGGCTGAAAAGGCAGGTGGCCAAGCCCACCCTGCGCAGATGGATCCAAAAATTTCAGGGGGAGGAGAGACATCAGCATTTTAATGAGCTTCGGAGTGGGGGTGGGGTGGGGCGGGGTGTGTGTGTGTGGGGGGTGGTTTAAATTTGAGAAGATAAAAGCTTGGTTCTGTCATGCCCTGGTTTTCACTGAGGGCAATTCTTTGAAGCAGGTGACATTTTTACTGGAAAATCTGTGATCAGGCTTGAATCCTCTAGTTTAATCAGGAAGCGAGGGAGGAAGATCTAGGAACATTTTATGACCCCAGCGCAAGGTGGGGAGACACAATGCGGGGCAGCCACGGGGCGGGGTGAGCCCGGCACCCTGCCCGACGCGTGGCCATGCCACCAGCCGGCCATCGAGATGCCCACGGAACGCGGGCGGCACCGGGAAAGGCGGCGCCTGACCGCTGAGGCCAGGAGAGCAACATGGACTGAGGCTTTGCTCTGGTAATAGTTTTAAAAGAAAACAAAAATCGCTCAGCCTGCCTCTAATCGGTAAGGTGGCAGCTGCCGCGGAAACCGCACCACCGTCAGTGTCTGAGCTGTGGCAGCTTCTCAACAGCTGCCGCAGCCCTCGATGCGGAGCTTCCTTCCTCAGATTCCAGCTCCTTCGGCCCATGAATTAAAGCTCCCAGGAGGGACATTCTGATCCCTTTAAAAATCTTAACCATGACCTGGAGGATACTATAATTTCATCAAGACAATATTCTTTAGCCAAATAAACCCACTTACATATACAGTTGACCCTTGAACAACATGAGTGAACTGTGTGGGTGCATTATATGTAGATTTTTTTTTAACTGACAGTTTGAAAAAAACTCACAGGCAAACCGCATAGCCTAAAACAGATGATGTAAACTTATAGTATCAATAAAAACACAGGACTTTCTTAACATCATTTTCTTTTCTCTAGCTTACTTTATTGTAAGAATACAGTATAGAATACATCTAACACACAAAATTGGTGTTAATTGATTGTTTATGTTATTGGTAAGGCTCTGGGTTAACAAAAGGCTATCATTAGTCTAAGAGGAGTCAAAGCTCTACGTGGATTTTCGACTGCACGGGGGTCAGCACCCCTAACCCCCACGTTGTTCCAGAGTCAACTGTACATCATCTGTACACTCTCTCGCAACGTAAGGGAGGTCAGGGCAGCAGGGCGGAGGGGGACGCACAGGAAGGACAGGCCGGGCCTCACCTTCGGGGTCATCGCGGATCACCAGCAGCCCATTCCTGCACACGACCTTCCCAGTGGTGGCGTCTAGGAATATTAGCGATGGAATGTTGGAAATTCGGTATTTGTTCCACAGTTTGAGCTGTAAGAAGAAACATTAAAGAAGGTGGTTAAGTTCAAACTAGATTAATTGCAGAGATCTTTCGAACACCGCAGGCCTCAGGGGTGGATGGGCTGGAAACCACAGAAGTGCAGAGACAGGGGTCACGGGTGGGAAGCGCGGCTGGCTCCGCGAAGTGCACAGGCGGCGCTGCAGCCCCCCGCCCTGCAGCCTGTGACGGCGCAGGGCCCCCCGCGTCTGAGCTGAAGGCATGGCAGAGGCTGACAGGGAGAGATGGCGCTTACTGCAGAGGAATTCTCTTTCCTTCCTCTCCCCCTGGCACTTTCTCTAACAGACATAAAGATGAACGTGGAGCCCTGGCCGGTGTGGCTGGGTGGGTTGGGCATCATCCCACAGAGCAAAAGGTCTCGGGTTCAATTCCCAGTCAGGGTACGTGCCTGGGTTGCAGGTTCAGTCTCCAGTCAGGGGGCATATGAGAAGGCAACCAATCAATGTTTCCCTTGCACATCAATGTTTCTTTCCCTCTCCTTCTCCCTCCCCTCCCCCTCTCTAAAAATAAATAAAAACTTTAAAAAAAAAAAGTGAAGTTGGCTTATGCCTTTTTTTGAACACAATCAGAGCAGGTGATTAAGCAAAAAGGGAGGCTTTTTACTGGTGCCTCGCCACCCTAGCAGCAGGCAGGTGCTCCCTGCTTTGCTGTGTCCCCTGAACCCCAAAGGAAGACAGACAGGGCATCCAACAGAAGACAAGCAGTTAAAATGTGCCCCACTCACCACTTCCCCAGACCCCTGGAACGCTGGCAGTCATTGTACGCGTGTGCCATGCAGCCAGCAAACACTAGGGAGGCAATATCCTGGGCCAGCCCCGGCCCTCGAGGCTCAGAGCCACTCCAGCAGTCCGCACTCCGCCGGCCGGTGCGCGGGGCTGACTGCGCGCCCTGTCGGAGGGCCAGGGCTGCAGCGGGGCGAGGCTGAGCGGACCTAAATGCAGCAGCCCAGAGACAGGGGCCCAGCATGTGCGGGCTTAGTTTGCTCCCAGCCGTGGGGGTGAACGCTGTTCAGGTGAGCCGCTGGGTGCTCGGGGACGTCACTAACGAGCCCAGGAAGCGACATATTTAAATGAAATGTGGAGCTATCAGTGCACCTCCAGGAAAGAAAGAAACAAGGGGAAACTGAAGAACAGCTCATTGGTGATTCAGCTGCGAGCCTGCCTTCCCGGGGCCTGGGGCCCAGACAGGAGGGCTGGCCACCGGGCACGGGCAGAATAGGGCACGGGTATGTCTAAGGAAACAGGCCTCAGAAGTCCAGCTGTGTCCAGCAGAGGGAAAGCCATGTGTGGCTGTGATTACTGTTTTTAATTCAACCCCAGGCAGCGAGGGAGTTGGGCAGCGTATCTGCCAAGAAATGTTAGGCTTCCCCTGCCTGTGGAGACTTGGGTCTTGGCAGGAAGGGCTGTGGGACCCCACCTCGCACTGGATGGGTCCGGCCTTCAAGCTGCATGTTTTTCCCAGGCCCACGTTTCCGACGGGCTCCCCAAGCCAGCCCAGGACCTCAGGGCAAGAGTGACTCTGCACATCCAGTTTTGAAGGACCAGCACTGCATAGTCCCAGAGAAGCCTGGTACAGGGTTCAGACTGAACGTTCTTAAGAGAAGAGGCTCAGCAGCTAAACAAGACCCTCTGCGGCTGGGATTTAGCTTCACAAATTGGCTGGTATAAGGATCCAGCTGGGTTAATTTTCTATTTTAAAGGGGAAAAAACGGAAGATTAAGATTATTGGATTTTTCCATCTTAAAAAGTAATTATTATTAGGAGAAAAAAGGTAATTACTGGAAAAAATGGAAAATGCAGCAGCACAGCACAAAAATTGAGATAAGAATCACCCATGACTCACCACCTGTGAAAGCTCAGACAACTTTACACTGTATTTCCACCAGTGCCCTCATTGCTAGCACCCTCATCCACTTTATCACCCACATCAGCTTTCCAATTTAATAGGAAAATAAATGATACCCCAGTTTTGCTGGGGTATTTTTTTGCGTGAATAGTGTGCTTTCTCTTAGGACTGAAAACCTACATTGAAGGAGGACTATATATTCTAAAATTAGCTATTTTTACAACTCCATCTTTTCATTGGTGACCCAGACCCCATTCTTTTGCACACATACACACATATATATGTATATACACATATGCACATATATACATATATACATATTTCATTGTTGTATAAACAGACTGTTTTCCCCCAGTATGTTTTATAATTGGTTAAGTGCCAAAATTCATTCAACAGATGCTAACTGAGCACCTTCTATGTGCAAGTCCTCTCCTAAGCACAAGGGACACAAGAAAGAACAGGGCAGAGGAAGCCAGCGCCTTTGCAGAACTTCTGTTTCAGTGGAGGAGACGAGAACGTGAACAGAAAAATAATTTCAGACACTTGTCATTGATAAAACTTAAACAAAACAGGGTAAGAACAAAGCATGCCGAGGGGAGTGGTATATATTTTACAGAGTTATCAGGAAAGGCATCCTGGAAGAAACGACATTTGAGCAGAAGACCCCAACAATGAGCGAGCCACGTGCGCATTGTGGCGTGTGCGCAGGAGCGAGGAAAGCCACCTGAGGCCCAGCACAGGTGTGTAGAAGCCAGCGGGCTGAGCGGGGAGGCTGGGGTGGACGAAGCCAGGCAGCCTCAGGGAGGGGAGGCCAGAAGGGCAGTCAGGGACCAGATCTTTAAGGCCCTGTAGACTGGTCTGGAATTTTATTCTAAGTATAATAGGCTGAAGTTAGCAGGGGAGTAGATATGATCTGATTTACATTTTAAAAGGTCAGCGTGGCTCCTGTGAAGGAACACAGTACTGGGGAAGACAAGCGGAAGACAGAGACCAACGGCGGGGGCGGGGGGAGATGGGGGGCTGCCAGCGGGGGGCGGGGGGGGCGACCGACAACAGCTGAGGCAGGAGTTGAGAGTCGTGGCAAGGACTTGGGTTGACGCAGCAGAGGCAATGCGGACAGGATCTATTTTGAAGACAGTCAGTACAGCAGGTTGACAAATTTAATGTCAAGGGTGACGGAAAGATAAAGATTAGGATGGCCCTGCCAGGTAGCTCAGCTGGTTAGAGCATTGTCCCAATATGTCAAGGTTGTGGGTTTCATCTCTGGTCACGGAACATACAAGAGTCAACCAATGAATGCATAAATAAGAGGAACAACAAATCGATATTTCTCTTTCCCTCCCCGCTTCCTTTCTTTCTTTCTTTAAATCAATTAACTTTTAAAAATTTTTTAAAAAAGAAAGAGATCAAGGACATACTGTGGTTTGGGGGACTGAGCAGAAGTGTGTCAAGGGTCTGATGAACCTAGAAGAGGACCAATGGAGGAGGAGAAAGGAGGAGAGGGAAAAATCAAGTTTGGACAGGTCAAGTTTGAGTTGCCTATTACACGTGCAAATGGAGATGCCAAGTAGGCACCTGGAGTTAAAAACCCTGACTCTCTGGGGTGTGGGGCATGAGATACACCCCAGGGATCCTCAGTGCCTAGATGCTGTTAGGGGTCATGGGCCTGGATGAGGTCATCAGGAGAGGCCATGGCTACTGAAGGAAAGAGACCCGAGGGCAGAGCCAGGCACCACCAGTGCAGGAGACTGAGGACGAGTGACGAGTGATATAGGATGAAAATGAGGAGATGCTGGGATCCTGAAAGGCAGGTGAAGGACGTGTTTGGGAGCAGGCCCCTATATCAAATCTTGCTAAGAGGTGGAGTAAAATGAGAACTGACCAGAAGATGGGCGACTAAGGTCACCTAAGACCTTATCAGGGAGCAGTCCGTGAAGTGGTGAAGCCCAACAGCGAGCGGCCTGGAGTGGAAGAGGCAGGAACGGGGCACGGCTCTGCCTGGCCCACGCACCCCACGTGGGCCTGGGACCCAGACTCATTCACGTCCTCTTGCCAACATGTGAAACATCTTGAGGAGCATAATAAAAAAGAAGAAAGGTTACAAAAAGAGAAAGAGAAAATGGTAGGTAAGCGGCTGAGTTGGACTATAGACAATTTTCTTGAGGAGTTTAGCTATAAACGGAGCAGAGAAATTAGATTGTAGCTGGAAAAACGCATGATGAGGTCAGAGGGAGAGTATTTTAAAGATGAAGTTAGAGGGAGAATATTTTAAAGATGAGGTCAGAAGGAGAATATATTAAAGATGGGAGATACTCTAACATGCCATTGGTGAGAATCCAGAAAAGAGTAAAAAATTGATGAAAAGGAAAAGTGCAAGAACAAAGTCCTTGAATAGGCAAAAAAAAATGGGATCTAGGTCACAAGGAAAAAGGTGGAGTTGTAAAAACAGCTAATTTTAAAATATATAGCTTTGTCCTGGCTGGTGTGCCTCAGTGGACTGAGTGCCGGCCTGCAAACCGAATGGTCGCTGGTTTAATTCTCAGTCAGGGCACAGGCCTGGGTTGCGGGCCAGGTCCCCCGTTGGCGGTATGTGAGAGGCAACCTTTCACTCCATCACTCCCTCCCTCAGTTCCCTTCTCTCTAAAAATAAATAAATAAAATCTTCTAAAATATTCATATATTTTACTACATGTACTATCAGCCACTGGTTTCAGACAGGTGAATATTTGCAAGGCTTGAATATTTTCAGCCTTAACAAGAAAGGAAATTTTGCAATATGCTGTGACATGGATGACCATTGAAGACATTATACAAAGTGAAAGAAGGCATCACGAAAAGATAGATGCTGCCCAAGTCTCCGTCCATGAGGTCCTTGGAGCAGTGGAAAGGCAGAACGTGTAGTGGTGGGGGCCAGGGGCTGGGGGAAAGGGAGAACGAGGAGTCACTGTTTAACAGGTACAGAGTTTCAGTTTTACAAGATGAAAAGAATTATGGGACTAGATGGTTGTACAAAAATGTGGAAGTATTTAATACCACCGTACTGTGTACACTTAACAATGGTTAAGATGGCAAATTTTATCACAATAAAAAGAACAGCCTTCCATAACTTTTTGACCAAAAGTTTGAC